AGCTGAGCAAGTTTACTTAAGACACCAAAGTTGGTTATCTTAATAAAATAACCAGGTATTGATGATTTTAGTACTGATGGATTTTTAGTTATTTTTGTATAAAAAGGATTTACAGAAAGAGTTTTAATTCAACTTATTAAGTTAGTACTAATTAATCTGTTATTGACTTATTTATTCTTATTTACAATAAACTATTCTTTAATTCCAAATTCTTCTTTCTTAATTTATAAAGTTTTTCAAAATGTCTTATTATTCTCAAACCTAGGCTACTAATACCAAATCATAAGTCCATATCTCATAACTAACATCCTCTAAAGAGAAGTCTAAGTAAATCTTTACAACTTTTAAGACAAAAGATTTTTAGGTTACTTTATTTTTGCATCTTTTGGCTTGGTTCTTTTCATGCCATTAACAACTAACTGCATCATAGCACTCTTAGTAAAATTGCACAAATTCTTCAATTTATATATTCTTACTACATTCTAGCAACTTTATTACACCATGTTCAAATATTTCTAACTAGGCCAAAAAGCTGCTATTGTCAAGTCTAAGGCAAGTCAGGTCACATGCTTTATCTGTTTAGTAAACTTAATTAAAAGTTTCTACAACCTGTCTAATCTTCTTTTATAAACTTTGTTATTCATATTCTTTACTATACTATATGTATATCTTAAGAGATCTTTAATTAATCCATTCAAACTGCTATCAGTCTCCAATGTTTATTGTTGCATAGTTCTATATGACCTAATGAACCTAACTAAGCAATCTTTATTAGTAATAACAATTCTATCTCTTCTCTTTTTGTTTACATAATTAACAACCACTATGATACCATAACCTAAACTAGAATAATAATTACTATACTGGTGTTATTTCTTTATATGTACTAAAAATTGATGAATTAAGCCAAACAGTAGATATAGATAGTTTATATATTCTTTCTAATCTTATATAAAGCAATCTATTGCTATTATCTATAAACAAAAATAAAGACTGTTAAATCTTCTTAGACTTGCATTTCTATGACTCATAAATCTGTTTATATCAAAAAGCCTCCATCATTCCTATAATTGATCTACTATTTTCTCTTTTATTTTCTAATTACCTACATTTACTATTTATGAAAACTCATTTGTCAGGTTTTTTTCACTTACCATCTATCTTGTATAATATATTTCTATATTTTTTTCTATATACACTTATTAAATTTTTTTAACAATCTTTTTTTTACTATTGTAGAGAATCCTATTCACTACTATTCTTTTTTGCTACTTTGTTGTCTATAACTAATATGATTCAAGAGCCTTTTAACTAAACTTTGAATAACTATAAGACTTAAAGTACCACAATAGCTTCAAGTTGGGTTATAATATCTGCTAATAAATTTTGAGTTTAACTACTAGTTGCTACTAATTCTTGATACATACCACAATATTATACTATCAAAACATTTATAAAAACTATCTTTATTCTTAACAGTTTTTACAAAAATGACTATTTCAAATTTTCAGGTTCTTTACTAATTATTAAACATATTTTATTACTTATATTAATAGTGTAATCTTTATATCCTAATTATTCTAATAACAACTTCTTGCATTTATTAATTTGTAAAACTTTAGGCACTTTACCTCGACTGAACAAAAGGCTCTTGCCAGATTTTAAATCTTTTCAGCTACTGATACCAGCTTTTTTACTAATATGATTGATCTTTCCAACAAAACTTTTAGCTATACAATTGTAGCAGCAATATTTTCTTCTAGAACAACAACTAGTTTCTTACTGTGTTCACAATAATGTTACAAAATTATAGCTTCTAAATTAGGTCCTAACATCTTTTTGCTTTCACCTGAATTTAACTAAATCCTTCCAAATTTCATGCTATAATTGACTTTTGTTGATCTAGTAATATTTCTTTGACAGATGCGTTACTCATACATTATTTAGATAATTTATACAAAAATTTTCTTTGACCTCCAACTGCCTATCATTGCTTTCATTAACTTAGTAAAAATTTATGAAAATAATTCAGACTAAAAGATAAAATTTTGCAATAAAATCATATCTCATTAATCAAAAACCTAAAAACTATTATGTCACATTATCCATTAATATATGATAGTAATCATTCTTTAGGTCAAAGGTTAACATCCACTAATTTCTGCTTACAGTTCTCAAAAATAAACCTATGTCCTCAAACTTGAACATCTTCTTTAGAAAATTTTTGTTTAGTTTTCTAAGAACTATCACAAGACAAAATTTCTTTGGTTCTTACTTAGGTACTACAAACATTAGGCTCATCTTGAATATTATTTCCAGTTTTTACCTGCCTTGAAACACTAACTTTATTGTACTAACATTTCTCAATCTTTTCAACTTACTCCCTATTCATTTTTTTTTTCATTAAAAATAATTATAACTTTGAAATCCCATATATTGCAAGACTTATAGCATCTTTTAAAAAGAGAAGAATTCTGTTTTTTAATCAGTTCACTATTAACAGAGCAAGTTTTATTATTTCTTTCTAATACTTTATTTTTACTTTTAAATCTAATTTTCCTATTACATATTACTTGTTGCAGTCTTCTAACATCTTCCTTTTTTTATTAAATTCATCCTTCAAGTATTGTCAGTTTCTGGAAGCAGACTCTGTAAAAATCTACTATGAACTAAAACTTGCCAAACATCAAAAAGATTTATATCATTAAACCCCAATCCTAGAGTGGTCACTGTTACACTTTACAAATTAGACACCTGTTGACAAGCTGGCATTATTGATGATATGCCTGCAAAAAAACAAGAGCAATAGATTGTTTTTGTTATAAGTTTGGTAAACAGTCTTGATAACTATTTTTCTTATTCTTGAATTTTTAACTTCTATCATAAAAGACCTTAGATTTTTTATTCTTTGACAAACTTTAAACTACCAATCTTACCCTTTCTTTTTTTTCCAAAAAATTGTAATATTGGATTCACCAAATCATTTGATGCCATCTTTGCAACTACACTTCAACCATCCTTATTTGCAACTCTAATGAAACTTGTCTAGCTAACAACAAATAATCTATCTTTTCTGTACTTAACAACTTATTCATTAACATATCAATCTTACACTACTCATTAAACTCCTACTGATTTCTTGCTTTTGACAAGCTACACTTCCTCTACAAACTTAAATCTTTATTTTTACAACCTGACATGAATCTTTTTCTTGCTCCAGAAAACTGCAAAGACTGTTTAAAACTAGACACTTTCTCTTCCAAGCTTTCATCAATGAAATTACTACTACCAGCTATGTGACCATTAGGAAGCAACTCCATATCCCATCTTATTTTCTATACTCATAGACTTTTCTTTTGCAAACAACTCATTAGATGACTTTTTTTCCTCTTACATTTGTTAACCAATCTATCAACAAACTTTTGTTTCAGACCAACATCAGAAATACCATCTCTTGATACAAAAACTTTAATATCTCAAGAGAAAGTCAACCAAAATTTGCTTTGAAATTGACTTGACTGCATGATGGTTCCACATCAATCATCTCCTCTTCACTTGTTGTTACCTTATTCTTTTCTAAGACACTAGCCATACAAACCAGAATAAAAAGAATAAAAATTTTCTAAAACTAAGACTAAAGCTGATAATATTATTTGTGCTCGATGTAACCAGAACGAAAGTCGGGTTCGCAGAAAAGACAAAATTATCTTACCACAGTTTTCGCAAACCTTACTAATATACTACAAACTAATTACCTCATAATTACTCAATTACTACATAATTATTCAATTACCTCATACTAACCAAGATACTTACTCAACGATCATACTTTAACCTAATTAACTATTCCAATTACCTCATACTTTCGTTCGATCGATCGACAATCGATCGAACATGTGACCGTAAACGGGCCTATCAAATGTTCGATCGGATAGTACATGATTCGAGACAAAAGCTGCATCGATACTTACGTATCGAGCAGCTATTGACATATATTATAAAATTTGACACAGGTAGTGCCATTGGGGCGCCGTGGCGCCCCGCATTCACTTATAATATATAAGGCTGGCTTCTCAATTAAGAAGCTTGCTCGTAAACAAAATATTAAAATTATTTTCAAAAACTTATTACGCATAAATTTTATTTTTATTATATTTTATTAATAAAAGATTAGTCCGGTAATTTATTGTAGGCATAATTATCTTATATAAATTATAATATTTAGTTCTAAGTTTCAAATTTCACAAAAATTTCAATGAAATTAAATTATTATTTTTGTAAAGAACTTTTGCTAATTGTTTGCATTCTTTAGAGTTAAGCTGATTATAACAAATATCCAAATTGATTAGGGTAGTGTTTTTACAGAGAGCTTCTACTAATAATTCTACACCTTCAAAATCAAGTAGATTATTACTAAGATCTAAAAAAGTTAAAGTGGTGTTTTTGCAAAGAATCTCTGCTAGTACTTGCCCTTCTTTAAGCGTAAGGTAATTATTAGAAAGAACTAAATTTGTTAAAGTTGTGTTTTCATCAAGAGCATCCGCTAACGCTTTTACTATTCTATTAGCTTCGTAAATAAGGAAATTTCCACTAAGATTTAGAGATGTTAAAATTATATTTTTATACAGAGTTTCTGACAACACTTTAACTCCATCAAAATAAACATGATTATTACTGATATCTAAAGAAGTTAATGTACTGTTTACACAAAGAACTTCTGCCAACGCTTTTGCACCTTCAGAACCGAGTTGATTATAAGAAAGATTTAAAGAAGTCAGAGTAGTGTTTTTGCAAAGAGCTTCTGCCAACATTTTGGTTTCTTTAAGACAAAACCTATTGTATCTAAGACCTAAAGAAGTTAAAGAAGTATTTTTACAAAGAACCTCTGTTATTGTCCTTACACCTTCAAGATCAGTTATATTATCTTCAATATTCAGAGTAGTTAAAACAGTATTCATGAAAAGAGCCTCTGATATGGCTTTTACTCCTTCAAAACCAAGGTTATTATTATTAAGGTGCAAAGAAACTAGTGTAGTATTTCTGCCAAGAGCCTCTGCTAATGCCTTGCCTCCTTCAACGCCAAGCCCAATATCGCAAAGACTTAATGATACCAAAGAGATATTGTTATAAAGTGCCTTTGCAAGTACTGCTCCACTTTCAAAATTAGATTGGTTAGAACTAAGACATAAAGATGTCAGAGTTGTGTTTTTATATAGAATCTTTGCCAATGCTTCTATACTATCATTATCGAAATCATTAATATAAAAAATTAAAGTGGATAAAGATGTATTCTCGTAAAGGGCCTTTAATAATATTTCCACTTCCTTCAAACTAAGATCACAATACCGAAGTTCTAATGAAATCAGACTGACATTTTTACAAAGAGTATCTGCTAGTGCTTCTATAGATTTAAACCCAAATTTAATGCCAGAAAGTTTTAAGGAAGTAATAGTAGTGCTTTTGTAAAGAAATTCTTCTAATAACTTTGTTGATCTGTTACAAGTATTTTTAGAGAGATCTAAATATTCGATTTTTTTACTTGTTCGTGCTAACATTGTAATTACATAATCTTCGACTGTTACAATCATGCTACCATACGTTTCATTATAACGTTTTTTATAATAACGTCCATATTCCTCACGATGAAGATAATTTATGATTCCTTTTTCTAAGTTATAACTATTAATAAAAGTAGTATGAGATGTATATTCAAATAATAATTTTGGACTATTGGGAAGTGATATTTTTAATGAGATTAATTTAGCCTTTTCTTCATCATTTAACGATAAAAGGTATATGCTTATAAGTTTTCTATCGCAGCAATGTTTTAATGGTTCGCTCCATAAAATTGGAATAATAATTCTGCACCATAGACGATTTACAAAAAGACATGAAAACAAGTGCCTGGGATAATTTCTAAGGTAATTAAATATTTCTTCAAGGCATTCATTCGGTAATTTTAACATTTCTAAAGGTTAATTGATGAATTGTTGATAAGTTTTCACGGATAAATATTTTAAAAATTTAGAGTTGCGTCCTGAGCGTAACGGAAAGCATTTAATTATGTATTGCTGCGTCATTATTTACGTTTGTGTAAATTCTGACTAAATAAAATAGGTTAAAACTCTGGAGATAAAGCATGATGACGAATAAAATATTGGTCGATCGGTGAATCAGCATAAAATAGTCATTTGCTAAGAAAATCACTGTTTGAAAGCAAGTGCCAAATAGCGATTTTCCTATGGCCAAAATAGAGGATAAAGATCTGAAGATAAGGTGTGGTAATGTTGATTGGATCGTAGAATCCATATTAAATGTGATTACGCCGATAGATAAGCATTCTATAATTGTACAAATACGAGCTTTGCAAAGATCTTAAATTTTTGCGAAAGAATTTTCATTATTTTACAATTCAGATCATTCCGCTAGTACATGTTATGATTTTAACCCAACACCATTTTATTATTATAAATCGCAAATTTAGTTTTTTACTATAGTACTATTGATGGGGTATTAACGAAAAACTAACTATTTTTCATAATTCGTCAAAAACCTCGTTAAAAACCTCGTTAATACCTCGTTGACAGTGCTATGAGAAATTAAATTTACGATTTGCCCTATAATCTCAATAATTCAACACTAGATCTAGAATATTTTAATGCTTTCACAAAATATAATATTTTTGCAAAGAATATTAAAACCGTCCGATAAAATTTTGGGTTTAAACTTAAAAAAGGTTTAATATCTCTTTGATGTTATTATATTGTACTTTCAAAATAGTACAATATAATATTACTTCACGTTACGCTGAAAAAGTTTGTATGTTGGAATAGATACTGAGTCAGAATAGGAATAACTCATTATACAGTAAAATCCATAATAAAACTACCATATAGCTGGATTAAAAGACAATTTTCAGAGGCCTAGAATGTTTTGCATCCGGGCACTAAAGATGGACTGGAATATAAAAATATACAACTTATACCTCTACGCTAATAATAGTATCACTCCAACTACATTACCCGTACATGCAGGCTAACTTTAGTCCACGAAGTACGATACTAAATATAAACCCTAATAATGGTAATGCTATGATTGAGGTATGGAGAGAAATGGTCCGAGTAATTGGGGTGAAAAATTTAGTCTAATATGGAAATTTCGGCTACAGATACATAGTAAATTTCAGCAGCAGAAAAATTGCTTAAATTAATTGATAACATTACTATATAAACAATGGATATATGTTAAAAACAAATCCTTATTGATGCAGCTTATTAGTGGAGGGACAGAATTTAGGTGATTTCTGTTTACTAAGAGGCTATACCCCGCCCACCTGATTAAATATTAACCAATTAAATTTAATTATAACAATATATGACCTGATCAGATTACAAACCCCCCACCTATAAAAAATCAGCTGATATCTATCCCCCCTTAATAATTAGCATTAAAAGATATAATTTGCAGTATATAAGTATATTATTTATATTATAATTCAATAAAATTTGTATTAATATTATCGTCTTTGATTTGTTGGGACTTAATAACCCATAAATTTTGTTACAAAGTTAAATCTTCACAAGTTTAATAACAGGTAAAATTCTTATTATTGAATGTAAATGTTTACTGTATAGAAGCCGTATTGCAAATTATTAGCTCTTTATAATTAGCAGAAAAAATCTGAAAATTCATTATTATTTAACAATATTTACATCCAATTTGTATGTTGTTAGATACATTATTAGAAATAATAAAATCAAAAAAACTTTGCTGAAAACACTAAGCAATACCAGCCAAACTAATGTCCAAAGCAAAATCATAAATGGACTTGCTAGTAAAATTTTTGTAGTCTTTAAAAATGTAATTCAGCCAGAATACTTATATCTATGCTCGTGAACATGCAACTTTTTTGAGTTTTTATGTCTATGTTCGAGCTCGTGTCTAAGCCTTCAAGCCTACATCTATACCTAGAGTTTTTGTTGAGGATAGACATGAGTTCGGGTTGTAGACCTTATTTATGATGTTCATTTTTATACATTATTATCTCTAATTAATTGGTATGAGATGTCAAAAATAAAAACATTCTACGCTTCTAAAAATTATTTACAAATCTTATAAACATTTAGGAAATCTAAAAAATATTTACTAGCTGCAAAACACATAGGTACGTATAAAGTCTAAATTTCAAATTGCGCAATTTATCTATATAAATTTTAGTTAAATTAAATTATTATTTTTGTAAAGAAATTTTGTTAACTTTTTACATTCTTTAAAGATAAGCTGGTTATAGCAAATATTTAAATTAGTTAAAGTAGTATTTTTACAGAGAGCTGCTATTAATACTTTTACCCCTTTATAACCAAGAAGATTGCTGCTAAGATCCAAAAAAATTAAAGCTGTGTTTTTGCAAAGAACCTCTGCTAATACTTGTACTTCTTTACAAGTAAGATTGTTAATAGAAAGAACTAAATTAGTTAAAGTTTTGTTTTTGTAAAGGACATCTGCTAATGATTTTACTGCTTTATTAGTAAGAAAATTGCCACTAAGATCCAAGGAAGATAAAGTTATATTTCTATAAAGAGTTTTTGTTAA